GCGAGATGTTAACTACCTCGTCTGGTATGCAGGATGTCGTGGGTTCGATCCCGACCCTGACGCCTGTTTATTTGGAGTTTGCATGTTGTCTCCGTGGTCGCATGAATTTTTCTCCAGATCCTCCGTTTTTTTCCTCCACATTTAGAATCAAACGTGCGTTTACAGTATATGGCTGCTATAAATTTCCACATGATACGCCACTTCATTGAGCTATCATTTGTGGTCAGGTCACTTCTGAAAAAGAGCTACAGTGAGGGAAAAAAGTATTTGATCCCCTGCTGATTTTGTACGTTTGCCCACTGACAAAGAAATGATCAGTCTATAATTTTAATGGTAGGTTTATTTGGACAGTGAGAGACAGAATAACAAAAAATCCAGAAAAACGTATGTAAAAAATGTTATAAATTGGTTTGCATTTTAATGAGGGAAATAAGTATTTGACCCCCTCTCAATCAGAAAGGTTTCTGGCTCCCAGGTGTCTTTTATACAGGCAACGAGCTGAGATTAGGAGCACACTTAAAGGGAGTGCTCCTAATCTCAGCTTGTTCCCTGTATAAAAGACATCTGTCCACAGAAGCAATCAATCAATCAGATTCCAAACTCTTCACCATGGCCAAGACCAAAGAGATCTCCAAGGGTGTCAGGGACAAGATTGTAGACCTACACAAGGCTGGAATGGGCTACAAGGCCATTGCCAAGCAGCTTGGTGAGAAGGTGACAACAGTTGGTGAGATTATTCGCAAGTGGAAGAAACACAAAAGAACTGTCAATCTCCCTCGGCCTGGGGCTCCATGCAAGATCTCACCTCGTAGAGTTGCAATGATCATGATAACGGTGAGGAATCAGCCCAGAACTACACGGGAGGATCTTGTCAATGATCTCAAGGCAACTGGGACCATAGTCACCAAGATACCAATTGGTAACACACTATGCTGTGAAGGACTGAAATCATGCAGTGCCCGCAAGGTCCCCCTGCTCAAGAAAGCACATATGCATGCCCGTCTGAAGTTTGCCAATGAACATCTGAATGATTCAGAGGACAACTGGGTGAAAGTGATGTGGTCAGATGAGACCAAAATGGAGCTCTTTGGCATCGAATTGCCAAACTTCAGCCTCGATACTTTAATGACTTGGAGAAGATCTGCAAAGAGGAGTGGGACAAAATCCCTCCTGAGATGTGTGCAAACCTGGTGGCCAACTACAAGAAACGTCTGACCTCTGATTGCCAACAAGAGTTTTCTCACCAAGTACTAAGTCATGTTTTGCAGAGGGGTCAAATACTTATTGTCCTCATTAAAATGCAAATAAATGTATAACATTTTTGACATGCGTTTTTCTGGATTTTGTTGTTGTTATTCTGTCTCTCACTGTTCAAATAAACCTACCATTAAAATGATAGACTGATCATTTCTTTGTCAGTGGGCAAACGTAAAAAATCAGCAGGGGATCAAATACTTTTTTCCCTCACTGTATATAGCTGAGTGGGCCTTACCTGGTAACATAAAAAAGTAGTTAAAAAAATTGTAGCATTTATCGAATGTGTGCAGACTGTGAAACTTTGATCACTGACCGCGTGAATGCAGCACCTGAGCCGTGCGAGCAGCGGGGAGAAGAGCCCTGCCGAGCTGCAGCGCCGCTTCCTGCAGGCCTGCTGGGCCTTTCCCACCTACGGCTCGGCCTTCTTCTACGGCCACATTTACACCAAAGCAGGCACCGCCGGGCACAAGGCCCTGCCCGTGATCGTGGGTGTGAGCTGCCGTGGAGTACAGCTCCTCAACGCCGACACCAAGGTGAAGCCCACTCTATGCTTACCGTGAGAGGGCACGTGCACATGCAGTTGTGTAGTTTTGTGTGTGTGTGTGGGACAGATGAGAGCTTCCTTGGTCGGCTTTAACCATCTAGAAATTATCCTTATGATGCTGTGGTGGATTCCCATCATCCATACTCTTTGGTTCTATTCGGTAAAGTCACGTAGGTAAAAAATAAAACAAAAATCACGACGTTTCGGCCACAACACAAGTGGCCTTCATCAGGTGAAGGGACCGTGCTGTCACGAAGACAGCGTTGAAATTAAGAAAGTCAAGCCAGGTCGCGTCCTTTAAGCTGTGTGGGAGGAAACCAAACGCTTTGACAAAGGAATTAGCATAAAGTGCTGATAGAACACTTAACACGGGGGGGAGGGGGAGGGGAATTTGACAATGCAAACGTTGTTTTGAATTAAGAAAGTCAAGCCAGGTCGCGTCCTTTAAGCTGTGTGGGAGGAAACCAAACGCTTTGACAAAGGAGTTAGCATAAAGTGCTGATAGAACACTTAAAGTGCTGATAGAACACTTAACACACTCCGACTTGCACCATTCCGCTATCAAGGATGACACTCCGTCACACTTTGCTAAATAGGACAAAGAATCAGATCGAAAAACACTTTACGTAAAAATCATTGTGGATTTAGATCCAAAAGGGTTTTAGTGATCAGATCCTTATGGTAAGACACTGATAGAAAACAGTTGGCTCAGGACCAGCATATTAGCAGAGCAGGGAAGCACTTTGTGTTGGCAACTTCACTATCACTGCCACAGGCCACTACGTGGGATCCCAGGGGAGCTCCTTAACCACAAATGATCTCATACGTGACACCTCCCAACATTCTGTCCTGCATACATAGTTCATCTGTAGCAAATTGCATTTGTTTGGATAAATAGTTGTTTCCGTGTGTGCAGTATGCAAATGCTATACTGTTGATGTTTGTCTACCCATGTGCTGTAACTGAAATGCCACGTGTGCCTGCGCTAGGCACTACTTCTGAGTGTTTGCTACGCCAAGATGACGTGGGACCGAGCCGTGGGAGAGGCCTGCCTGCACATCCACAAACTGGATGACCGTATCAACTATGCAGTCTACACTAAGCAGGTGCAGCACAACAGAGATAAGTGTAGTTTCTACTATTGTATGCACATCGCTTAAATAATTTTGCTTGTTTGGATTACTGGCATTTCTACATGGCAAACAGTATCTTCATCATTCATCCCTTCATATATAGATCCTGACCCCTATCATAGATTCATGTTGAATATAACACCACTGATTCAGAGCTACTATTGGCAATAACTTGACCTGCACTTTTTTTGTCCCTGCAAGATGTAATGCACATGATCCCAGTGTGATCCACCAGCTCCACCTACAAGTCACTGGATTACTGACACGTGCCACCTAGCTCAGCCGTCAGTGTTTCTCTCGTGTTTTCTTCAGTGGTCACTCTCTCCTCTCATATTCTCGCTGTCTGTGTGCTTGACAGGCTAGCCTCATCATCAAACTAATGGCCAAGCTGAGCAGCCAGCAGGAGCCCAAGACACCGACACCTTCAGAAGGCGGCAGTGAGCGGCTGTGACCGAGACTGTGGGACTGCCTGCCAACGGTGCACCTTACAAGCTTAGCACGAGCTCACGAGTTTGAACCCCGAGTGTTTGTTTATAATAGGTGTCCTACTGGGACACATACATAGTGTACATATATACATACATTTTGTACTTTTTTTCACTTGTCCTTTATGCAGAAATTATTTAATTTCCGAATGTGTAATTAGAGTATTGAGAAGTGATCTTTGATGTTCATCAGGATCTCGGTGCTTTTGCACCACATAAAGCTCCGTCAATATCACCACGTTGTTGTAGTCCACATTATTTAAGTAGTGGTGACATGGCCCAGCAGTAGCACATTTCGCTGTTCAAATCTGGTAGGCCGCCCTGATTAATACGTCGGATGTATTATCCGTAACAATGTGTTGTCTGCTTCACAGTCGATGTTAAAGATCCTGTGATGTAATTCCAAGAGGTCATTGTTTGCTGGTGTCATAGTCGAAATTGTCTAACTTTGAAAAGTAATTAGAAAATTACTTTGTTGGGAAACAGCAATTGTTATCCCTTTCTGTAGAAATTTACCAGAACCCTCCTGTAAGAGTCTTGAGACTCACTAATACTATCCTCTGTAAACAAGTGTCATAAGTTCTAAAAGTGTTACTCATATCCACATACATTAAACACCATGGATTGTGGACAGTGGTAAAGCATAGGATGAAAATCACTGAAAAGAATATAAGCTAACAAGCAGTGGCCTTTCTTCAGTGCAAAGAAAGAGCGAAAGCATACGATTGTCAAACATGTGGATAACATTTAAAATATGGTGCCCAAAAACAGTAACATTTGAATATTGTTGTGCTATAACAGTAAGAGATTTCACTGTGCCATACTATCACAGTTGTGAAATGGCTGGCTTTTGCTGTGCCCACACTATGCTGTGGTCGTTTAAATGAGCAGAGTATCACGTCCCTGCTGCTGTCCACCTGTGTGTGCCGCTTGTGAAGCTGTGCAGACGTGTTCAATCAAAAACAAGTAATGTGTTGCTGTCATCACATTGCCAAGTGCTGGTAATTCTGCATTCATAATCACCTTTGGATGAAGGCCTCCCCACACCGTTTCGGTTACAGTGGTTACCTGACCATACGACACTGGTCAGTGAGGGCTGGCCAAGAGGGTGAGAACCCAGGTAAGGATGTAATATAAATGTGCAGCTCTGCAATTTCTTGCTCACGCATTGATGAAGAGCCTTGTTTGGATAAAGGAGTACCATATAATATTTTGATATGTGATGAACTGAATAAATATTGAGCTGATCAAGTTCAGCGCTATAACAAGAATTTCATTAAGCTGCCCGTGTGCCATCTTCATGTTCTCAAACGTGACTTTTATACGCTCTGGTTCTTTCTTCTGCAGTCACGAAAGCTGCAAATCTAGAATGACTTTTATAGACCATTTATACTCCTCTCTGTAGTTTTCATGCATCCAGAGGACTCAAATTATCTCGATGTTTGGCCAGTGCTGCTGAAATGTAACCTCCCAGAGCCGTAAAGCATGCTTTGTTTATTATGTGGGAGGACAGATGGGTGATCTATTGTCGACTTATTGGTTTTGTAACGTATATTCTCCATGACAATTTCACACCTCTCAACTAATAATCACGTTTTATTTTGATATATGAAAATGTTATTTTTTTACACCATTCTCTAAAACAGAATTATCAAACTTAGTGGATACACTTTTTGTTGAAAAAGTGTGGAAAGTAATTTCTAGATTAAGAGGGACAAAACATTGACTTTTACACCCTAATAATTAACAATTATTACACTATATATGTAATTAAGAAAACACTTTATGATAAGTCGTTCAAATGTTGCTATCCACAAATGCAGTTGGGCAGATTCTCCCACGGATGAAACGGGCACAATATTGTTCCAGAATTTACGATGTGCCACCTGAATAGTGGAAATGCCCTTGCTGAATGTGTAAGATACTGTGAAATTTCACAATTCTGTGGCCCTACCCTGTTTATGTTCTATAATCAAAGGTCGGCAGGGTACAATTATTTTGGCGGGTTGAAATAGTATTTTTGGCGGCCAATGTAACAAAAGTTTAACAGATTAAATGAATGTCCAAAAATAAGAGCACATGGATGCCAATAGCAGATGCACAAGGGTACAAATTTACTGATTGTTTCAGTCTACCACGTGCTACTAATGCAAGCTGGTAAATAGGTTTGAAAAGAGCCAAGCACTCTTAATCTGAGCCAGCTGTCTCCTATGCCTATCCCTGCCCTCTACACCATATTCTACATTGTGGACTGAGATATTATGGAATGCGGTTCAATAGTGGAGACAAAACAACTCGAGTAAAATTGCAAACTGAAGAATTGTGATTCTCTATTGGCTGGCATTCCATCAAGGTAGGATGGAACCAATCGTACCCCTTAGCCAGCACCACAGTGTAATTGTGAATACTGTATTGAGTTTTATCTGAAACTTTCCTTTCATAGGGCTTAGGTAAAGCCCGTTCAAAGGGCTTTACCTAAGCCCTCGGTGGCTAGTCAATGCTCCACTGCAGGGTATTGGTCATTGTACAGAAATAAATCACTCCTGACTCGCATCTACCAAGATAGTCACCACCCAAAACTTGTTTGAGCTTGGTGAGCTTTTGACTGAGCGTGTTCACAGTACACCTATGAAAATATCTTGATAATGAATACATTTTCTTGACAAAGGAAACATTTTTTTTCACAACTAATAGCTTATTTAACATTTCGTAACCATTTTATAAATGCAGCAGCACATTTCCCAATGAATATGACAGACGATCCTTCAGTTATGAAGCGCCCGTCTGGCTATCGGGAAGGTCACACTTTGACCTTGCCAGCCAGCACACTGGACGGGTAGAGCTGGGCAAAGCGCCCCAGTGCCCACACAGGGAACACGTTCCTGTAGCTGGTGTAGCTGATGGCGCACGTCTTGTTAAACACGCCCGCGATGTTCTCCTGAAACAAGACGTAACAGTCCATATAAAGTCAAACACCATGCAGCAAGGTTCCACGATTAAATACAATATACCGCCTTCACATCCAAGGCATTTTAAAGCCGCTCCGTCACCCACAGTCTTTTATCTAGGAGAATGCATTGGTTTATTTGGTAAGTTCATCAATGAGTATTTTATATAAACATCCAGGTAACATCCCTCACTGACAGAACTGATATTTTATTCCTCACCCAGGAAAAATAACCATCGCAATTACCTGGGGCCAATCTCCATTTGGCAGCTGCTTTTCTATCAGCACACGGATGCCTTTCTCAATCACATTTGTGTGGGGGTACCTAACAGACACACCCACCATCATCCACAGAGCACAGCAAAGCACATTATAAATGAGCATACCCAGCCAGTAAAGACGTTCAGAAGATTCAAATGACCCGTATATTCTTAGCATTCTCAAATGTATAGCAAAAATAACAAACTTGTGGCATTAAAGTCCATGTACAATAATAAAGCTACCACTGCGCTCAACACAACATTTACCTAACCAGGAGAGATAAAGCATAGCTACTATTCCGAGTGAGTGATCCCACCTGGCTGCCATGAGTCCCAGCAGGGCCCAGGCTGTGCAGTGGATTTGTGAGCGTTCACTCTGCACATAGACTCTGCGTTCACATGACTCAAAGTCTTCACCCCAGCCTCCGTCAGACATCTGTCTTGACACCAGGAATGTGCAGGCGCAGCTCACCTCCGCACATGCACCCCTGCACAGGACGGGGGGGGGGGCACAGAGAGGTAGACAAGATTTTTACTACAACTTAATTACGATTAAGAATAACGTTAGCTTTCAGGCCATATAACGAGACGATGTCACAGAATGAGACGTCGCGAGATGACAACACATGCAATCATATTCTTTGGTTCTTTCGGTAAAGTCACGTAGGTGGAAAAAATAATTAAAAATAAAATAAATTAAATCACGACGTTTCGATTGCAACACAAGCAATCATCATCAGGTGTGACAACAGCAAGAAATCTTTTTACTGAAGTACAATAAAGTTACTGAAGTAAAAAACATTTCTTGCTGTGGTTGTCACACCTGATGATGATTGCTTGTGTTGCAATCGAAACGTGATTTAATTTATTTTATATATATTTTTTCCACCTACGTGACTTTACCGAAATAACCAAAGAATATGGATCCTTGTAGTCACGAAAACTTAAAATCTAGACATGCAATCATGTGATCGCAGCAAAGTGTGTGCATGGTGTGGGATGTCATCGCCGTGGGGGAAATTTATCAATAAATATCCCACATTTTCTATAGTGCACGTTCTTAACAGAAATTTACACTACAATTTCATTCAGTCTATCATTGGTATCCGTTATCATGTACTGCTAAAGGCAGACAAACCGACACATGGATGGAGCATATATATTGGTGCCATAATACGATCAATTTCAGGTATCTTATTCATTGCATCCATTATGTGCTAGATGTACATAAATGGGTTGCAGGCATCACTTTGTTTGGGCTTTGTGTGAATTAGACTCACCCATCGTGGTACCGATGACCCATGCAAGCAAATGCTTCCAGTCCAAACCACGTTCCATATGTGAAGCACACAGCCCAGCACCTGTGTGAATGGACATTTAAATGAATGTAAATCCTATTGGGATCACACCACCCTTACTGGATGTGATGGTCCCCACAAAAGAAAAGCTCTTATACATGCACTGTAAGCGTGACATAACCGTGAATAAGCACGTGTGTGTTTCATCTCCATGGTGAATTACTGCATGTGAATAGGGACACAAGGCAAGGCACCTACCCCTCCCAGGAGCCATCACGCCGTTGCACATGCCTGCAGAACTCCAGGCCCTTTTCCAGGGTATCCCTGCACAAAAACAACTCGGTGACAAAGCACACTGACTATTCAGCACTTACTGTCTTCACAAGACATTACCGTGCATTGTATCTTCTTTACGTGCTCTGATATTAAACCTTCGTGGCTCAAGGTGACCCCAGTTCTGTTCCCAGCCACGGGTAACATCATTGGTGAGTGTTATCTGTGCTGGTCCTGGGCAACCTCATTCACCAATCCCCAGTGACCAGCGTGGTGAAGTCTGCTCAAACAACCCTGATGACCCACAGAGTATTGGGAGAACATCAAAATAGATTGACAAAGGGCTTTAAATAAATATTTGAACCAAATACACCGCAAAATTCTTGCCATATATGCAGAGGAGTTATGGAGGAAGTAGCCATTCCCTGTTAGTGGCTATTTAACATCTTGCCCTGAGTAGAGGACTCCCTACGATTTGTCAAGACAGGAGCCCGATCCAGTCCTGTATCCCACTGGTGGAACTTCTGACGGAGGAATGGCAGCCCCTGTCCTGAGCGAGCACTTGGACATTCCACATGGCCAGCTGTAGCTATTGCCTGTTGTTTTTGGAGCGCCCCGAGGTGAGGATTTTACTTCCCTGACGCCACCAAATATGGTTTGGCCAGGAGACATCACTGATGTCCATCCCCGCCAGGCCTCTAGTCCATTCTTACTTAGCTATTCTCTCTAGTCATTTGGTCAATGAATTTAAGATAGAGGGGCTACCAAACCAGAGCCAGAAAAAATATGCAAATTAATGGGACAGTTTATTAATCAACAGTTTATCAGAAAGAGTTGATGCCGCTCCCTGCATGATCTACACACCCTCTTCCAGGTCTCTGGCTCACAGCCATGTGCCGTGATGCCTGGCCGATGGCAGCTTTACACACTGGGCGTTGTACGAGCGTGTGTGAAGGTGTTGCTGTATGGCTCCTCACTGGATCTCGTGGTGCCGATGGTCGGGAAACGCCTCCTGGAAGTGGCGCAGTGCCTGCATCACTGCGGACGTGCACTCCACATATGTGTAGTCGATCATGATGTCTCCTGCATGCGCACGCGCATCATCATCATCATCGGGCAACATTGCAGACTGGAAAACCCACCGTAGTCATTAGCACTCCCGAAGGAGTTATATATAGCAGGGTAACGTAGCAGGGTAACGTATCAGGCCGTGTTCCTCTAACAAGAGTACTGAGAAACAGCAACCAAAATATGTTAACTTCCAAACAATAATATGAATTGCATGCTTCAAGTACAACAATATCATGCTCAGGCTGCTGTGATTGAGCAACAGCAATTAGGGCAGTGTCGGTCAAATGTGAGTGAGAACGGTGAAGGATGTGTAAGAAACTCACCAAACACCTCAGAGGGGTTTATCAGCTCAAGCAGCCGTCCACCACGCTTGGTCTCGTAAGTAGCAAATCCCCCATCTGCATTACGCATGCTCAAAAGCTGCATACATACACGCACAAACACAGATTACCTGCTGAGACAATATTTGAAAAAATATTCTCTAATGTCATCATGAATAACCATCACGCTCTTTGAAATTAAGAATGGTTGAGGCATCATTGCACGATTGTGGTACAGTACAATGTCCCATATCTGTCATGTATCCACCCTGACCAATTAACCGCCCACATCCAGAGCAGTTTTCATGCGTGAAAACTGTACATTAGCAGCTAGTTCAACCTGCAGTTTAAGCTGTGTAGTGTGGTCTAGTTACATACCACATTGACCGCATCAAACAGGCGTGATGCAGGCAGGGGTTTCTGCACCAGACCAGGGCGAGCTTCCTGCAGCAGCATCACAGACTTAAGCCCCTCTGCTGTGCAGTCTGCAACGATCCAGCCACAGTCCCGTGTGCTGAACGGAAATCCACCCTGCACAATACGCACACAGGTAATCCATATAGACACGTTTTTGCACACTGTACTAAAATATAAACTAAAACTTTTTATTTTTCGATTTAAAGCTTTCGTGACTGCAATGATTCATCTTCTTTGGTTCTTTCGGTAAAGTCACGTAGAATGAGAATAAAATAATAAATTGATAAAATAAAATAAACAATAATATTCTCACGACGTTTCGGCCACAACACAAGCGGCCTTCATCAGGTGAAGGGAGCGAGACTGTCTGGTAGGACAGCGCTGGAGTGAGAGAGCCACGTTCAGATCACGGCTTTTAAGCTGTGTGAGAGGAACAAAGAGCCTTGACGAAGGAATTAGCATAAAATTTAGCATTGAAAGGGCTGAATGATTAGCTTGTGACTGGTCACAGAAATAGCTATGTTAAAAGTTAAAGCATACACATCCGCAGAGGCACCCATTGTTAAAAGGAATTAGCATAGAATTTAGCATTGAAATAGCTAAATTAAGGCATTCGCTTGTAACTGATACAGAAATAGTTACGTTGAAGTCAGAGCATACACATTCACCGAGGCACTTAGTACAAATCAAAACAGGAGAATTTAGCATTGAAATAACTAGGCGAATTTAGCATTGAAAATCACCCAGTTATTTCAATGCTAAATTCGCCTAGTTATTTCAATGCTAAATTCTCCTGTTTTGATTTGTACTAAGTGCCTCGGTGAATGTGTATGCTCTGACTTCAACGTAACTATTTCTGTAGCAGTTACAAGCGAATGCCTTAATTTAGCTATTTCAATGCTAAATTCTATGCTAATTCCTTTTAACAATGGGTGCCTCTGCGGATGTGTATGCTTTAACTTTTAACATAGCTATTTCTGTGACCAGTCACAAGCTAATCATTCAGCCTTTTCAATGCTAAATTTTATGCTAATTCCTTCGTCAAGGCTCTTTGTTCCTCTCACACAGCTTAAAAGCCGTGATCTGAACGTGGCTCTCTCACTCCAGCGCTGTCCTACCAGACAGTCTCGCTCCCTTCACCTGATGAAGGCCGCTTGTGTTGTGGCCGAAACGTCGTGAGAATATTATTGTGTTATTTTATTTGATCAATTTATTATTTTATTCTCATTCTACGTGACTTTACCGAAAGAACCAAAGAAGATAAAACTTTTTATTTTAACCATATGAAGCCCAATGAGCTATATAGCTCTTTTCAGAAGTCACCTGGCGACGAATGATAGCTCAACGAAGTTGACTTATGTGGAAATGTATAGCAGCCAAATACTCTAAATGCATGTTTCTAAACGTGGAGGGGAAAACCAGAGCACCTGGAGAAAAATCCAAGTAACCATGGGGAGAACATGCCAACTCCAAAATGTACAGCTATCAGGATTAGGATCGAACCTCGGATTTTCTATATACCAGGCGAGGTAGTTAACATCTCGCCACACTTTCACACACACTGAGTAGTATTTATATGACAATGTTTTCTATATATATGTATTATGGGAAGTTGTACATTTGTAAAAAAAAAAAATCACTGCACAATAAAACACTTGACAAATCAGCGTATCCTTCTTGGGTTGATAAAATAAGTCAAAAGTGGGTCGTTTTCTACGGAGTGAGTGCACTCCACTAGACCAACAACAGATTATCACCACATTCGATTGAATACTGGAGAATAACACTGAAACCCAAGATTTCAACGTTAAACAAAATATAACTTACATTTACGGTGTGTATCATCACCACAGCCAGTCATGTTGAAGGCTCATTCAATTTTTTACAGCAAACATCCCACCCATCAACTTGTATGCCAGAAAAATAAACCTTGTTCATGTGTATTCTTGGGTCTTTCGGTAAAGTCACATAGATAGGTTCAAAGAAAATAAATTAAAAACTACGTTTTGATCGCAACACAAGCGGCTGTCTTCAGGAAAAGGGGGGTTAGCTTCCAAGGCAAACTGTTTATAAAGGTTTGAAATGGGCGTAGCCCAAATGTCAGCAGCCAATGCTAATGTAAGTCGTGGGTAGCCAACCCGACGGTACTCACCCACCTACAAACTGGCCCGATTTCTGTCTGAGACCTCACAACGATTCACTGGTAAGACCACCTCAGCTGTACTCAACTCAGCTCACTTGGTATCGTTAATTAAAGACATCTTGCTATCTCCAGGTGATTTGCTCTTTAGTTTCGATGCGGCCTCTTTGTTTACCAAAGTTCCTGTACTTGACACCATTGCAATCATTGAAGATTTGGTCCAACAAGGATTGGATGCTGATGTACCGGCCCTGGTGAGACACTGCCTCACCATCACTTCACCTGGAATGGAACATTCTACAAACAAGTTGAAGGTACCCCAATGGGTTCTCCCTTATCTCCAGTTGTAGCCAATGTTTTAATGGAAAAACAAATATTTGAAACATGCCATCCAGGCATCCACTCTACGTCCGTCCTTGTGGAAGAGGTACGTAGATGAAACGTTCGTCATCTGGCCACATGGCTGACCAGCTCTGAACCAATTCATCAACAACATCAATTCCCATTTCAAACCTTGCGCTTTCAGTCACTTCGCGCACCGACCCCTTGGCTGCGGCTCTGCGTTCCTCCATTAACATGCTAATCTCTCATTAACATGCTAATTTTCACCTGGCAGCCCTCTGATTGGTGGAAAACCAACCACAGTCGGGTTGGCTACCCACGACTTACATTATCATTGGCTGCTGACATTTGGGCTACGCCCATTTCAAACCCTTATAAATAGTTTGCCTTGGAAGCTAACCCCCCTTTTCCTGAAGACGACCGCTTGTGTTGCAATCGAAACGTCGTAGTTTTTTGTTATTTTCTTTGAACCTATCTACGTGACTTTACCGAAAGACCCAAGAATATTAATTCCTGCAGTCACGAAAGCTTTAAGTCAAGATCTTGTTCATGTGGCCAAATTACATTGTGGATCGAGTGCTCCTCTCACAATTAACTTCAAATCCCGGTCCAGATTTAACTCAGTATATCAACATTGTCATCATCATAATTTTCTGATCAATTCGAATCACTTTTTGGCCATCCAAGTGCCACTCCATGCCATTTGATCGTGGAAGTTACTCGATGCCTGCATGTGTAAATCAGTGGATATACATAAAGTAAACAATGAAGTGTGGCACAAACTTGCCTTGTTCATCTGCCTGTAGTACTTTTGATAATCCGGAGGATTGTCAGGGATCTGCCAGCACACACTCACAATTACTATACAAATACTTTAGAAGCTGACAAGCAAACAACTCAGAAGGAAAAACACTTTCTCTGCTTGACTCCTGCGAGGCTCAGCTCGGCTTGGCTCCTGCTCAATTGGAGTGGCTCTGTGTGGTTCCTGATTACGAGTGGCTCTTCAGAGTTTCTGCTCACTTTGAGTGCTTCTGTGATAGCTTCCAAATATTTTGGCTGCTCCCACGGAACTTGTACCCTTCCAGTGCAGTTTTGCACGAGTGCAGCTGTTGAGGTATGCTGTGTAGGTTCTGGTGATTGTAAAGGCTGCTTCACCTATTGAGCCAGAAGGACTAGAATACCTAATTTAATTTCACTACTCATTGTTAGTACTCTTTTTAATGCAACTAAAACTAAATACGTATCAAGGAAAACTAAATACGTATCTTTATTAACCACACAACCTCCTAATTCCTCAAGTTTGGTACAATTTCTCTAAGCACTTATGTATTGTTTTACTACTGAGAATATTCCTGGCATCTGGAATCTCACCTAAGATTAATTTGGTTCCCCTCTAAGACGCTAACCAGCCCAGAGCACTCACCTGGGTGAGCTCCAAAAACGCGTGTGCGTGACGAAGACACTCTTCGAGCTCTGGGATATCTTGAGCTTCCGCCTACAACAAAGACAAAGATCCCCCACATAGCCTTAACATACTCTTGGGGCAAGTGCTGGCTGTTAGCGAACACATATGTAGACCAGCACGGCATACAAGAAGGTCGTATGTATGTACGTATGTTGAACTTCTTTCGCACCATATGTAGCCAACCTTCCTTCGTCTCCCCAATGCTGATGTTTACACACTGCACTAGGTACTCATTTAAGCTGACCTAGGCAAGGTCCAGGAAAAGTTCAGATAATCAATCATCACCATTGTTGGGTGTAAGCAGGAATCGAACCCGGATTGCGAGATTCCAAATGTGGTGTGCTAACCACTGCACTACCACACCTCGTAGACACACACACACACAAATCTCCATTTACTCAATAAAATGCTTGGTCAAATTATATTAGAGCACCAATGAAGGCCGACACTATACATGGGGGTTAGTGTGGGCAGGACCATACATGCTCAGTTACTGTTATCTCTCAGTGCAAATTTGTATTTTGCAAATGCTAACGCACCATACCAGAGACTCATTGTATGCCGATTTGTCCATGGCAGGTGTGACAGGTTCATATATCGGTTGCCACTGCTGTACGGCGTCGTGGCCAAAAATAAAACCTTTAGAGCCTAGTGCTAATTACTATACTCCACTGTTCCCCATATCCACATGCACACACAGTGCCTCTTTTACTTCACAGGCATGGTCAGTGTAATTGCGTGAAAGTGGAAATTTGCTTCAGTGTTGTGCACGTTTCAGAACTGAGGACAGTGTATGGAAGGCTCGTGTGAAGTGGTGCACTGTTGACTAATGGCTCACCTCTAGAAAAGCTTGCACTGCAAAAGTTGTGTCCCAGAGTTGGGATCCATTCGTTCCCTAGCGAGAAAAGAGTGACAACAAAAGGGTCATCTCATAATTTCTCATAGAATTTATCTAAGGCAAATGAAAACCTCACACACCAGTGCACACTGTGTACTGTTTATGTTAAATACACAGTACATATCGCAGGTCGGGTAAAACTATGTAACAGCATTCATAATTTTTATTTAAAGCTTTCGTGACTGCAGGGATTCATATTCTTGGTTCTTTCGGTAAAGTCACGTAGAAGGGAAACAATAAAATAATAAAAATATAAAACAATACAATTCTCACGACGTTTCGACTGCAACACAAGCAATCACCATCAGGTGTGAAAACCACAGCAAGAAAATTTGCAAAAAACCCGCCACTTTTTTCAAATTTTCTTGCTGTGGTTTTCACACCTGATGATGATTGCTTGTGTTGCAGTCGAAACGTCGTGAGAATTTTATTGTTTTATATTTTTATCATTTTATTGTTTCCCTTCTACGTGACTTTACCGAAAGAACCAAGAATATATAGCATTCATAATGTAGCCCTTTGTTAATTCAATCATGGACAATGGAAAATCCATGCCGTGACACCTTAACACGCAGATTAGTGCTGGATGGTGCCGGAGGAACCCAGAACTGGTTTAGATATAATTTTGAACTGATGTTAGCTGTGGCCAGGAACTGAACTTAGACTGCCACATGTCCATAGTGCAGTGCAATAACCACTGCACCTCCACTCCCCCTCTACACCAACCCCAAAAAACTACAATTTTCTGCATATTAATTTTGAGTAAGAGTAAAATGCAATATTGTCTCTGATAAAATGTGCAATTGGAGTTGCTCATCGCTAATAGCTTTACCAAACCATTGGTGGAAATTCCACATTATTGTGCGTGCGATCAGTATAGGACAACCACTATCGACTTAACACAGCCCCTACTTAATAATTATCCTACTCTACCTTGCAAAAGTGAGAACATATCTCAAACAACTGTAATGTAGTCAAAGGGTTTAAGTTAAAGAGAGAGGCTTGCTTTGAGTTGAAATACCTGCATCTTCATTCCATCCAGCCCAATCCTGTACACGATACACAGCAAAGCAAACAGTTCATTGCAAATTACATAGCAAATCACAGCAGAGCCAAGACTTCACAGTCAAAATTTGAGCCAGTGACTTCACAATCAAATCTATAGGACTAGTGTCACCACACATGGCATGGTAGAGATCTAACACTGGAGGTGGGATTTGTCAATCACGTACATATAAACACGTGCGGTGATACTCCCAACATGCTAGGTTGTGAGATGGACAAATGGTTCCAGTCTCATCGCAAAGCAGGACTGTCCCCTTGTATGAATGGATTTTGTCCAAGTACCCTGATTTCTTCTCACAGAAAACCCATTATGAAAATGCCCAAATATCCCACTTCAGTCCCATCCTGAAACCGTCTTCTGAATAAAGGAAAAAACATCCAGTTTTGAAATGTCCCAGGTGCTGGCCCATATAAAACAAAATCCCCATGGTCTTATTCCACCTACATTTTTGATCTCATCATGCATGGCAGGATAAAGGAGCTTCACAGTTGGGAGTATGTAGCAGGAGAGCATTGTAGAATTAATTAGACAAGGAGGTTGTGATGCGTGCTGCACGTGTGCAGGATGGAGCACAGGTTACCCAGACGAGCAGTGGAGTGGCACGCAGTGATTGTGGACCAGGGGAAGAGAGAATGTAAGAGTGGACCTTGGAGGTTGGGTGCCAACTTTGAAATAATTTTGGCATCAGCAGGAAGGATGCGGTGACAGTGTGAACTCTTCACTGCCAGTTAATGTTACTTTTCAAAGTGTGTCATCCCTCTCACAGTGTCAAGCTTCTCCCCTCCACAACATTTACAAACTCAATCGGAGCCACTCTTGCTCTCATTGTCCCTCACCAGAGGTAGTCAGGGATCCGCTCCACGTGCTCCAGGAAAGCAGAAGAGGTGGGCCCGTCCACATGCCACCGCACCAACATGTTGATGGTTTTGGAGATCTGCCCGCAATGTGGTATAAGCAGAATGATCACAGACCCGGCAAAGGAGCTCACAGCAATAGCACATTAGATAGACTAAACCATTGTTCCCCACAGCTGTCATCATAAACAAGGACTTAAAAGAGAATCCATCATAGAAGACTAACATCATAGGTCCACAGCCCTTTCTCTGTTGATTTATAGTTCTTTACCAGGAAAGCCTAATGAGTCTTAAGACTTTTTCAGGAGGGTCCTTCATTGGGATTTTGGCCATTTATTTTTAAGAAGTGCTGCGAGCACCAAAGGAAACCAGGATACTCAGTGAAAATCAGTGCATGAGGTGGCACTCAAAAATCTGCGAACAGTTTCTAAAAAAACTCCCTCCAATGTCAGCTTATGGCTCCTTCTCAACCTAATATCTGTGAGTCTCCTGACACAATAAACCCAGGTGTGATCCACATTCAGATGCTGTTGCACTTATAGATAACACTCACAAGTGACGTTAGCCTTGGCCATGAATTCAACTGATGTTGCCGGGTTCAAAGCGCAGTGCGCTAAGCAATATGCCACTGCTCCACCCTGTTACTACTGGTGTGTGTTCATGTATCCTGGTAGATGTTAATATTAGTTTAGGGAAAAAACATACCAAGTGCTCCAAGGCTAATAACTGTGAGTCCTATCCTCTCGTTTGGAAAACATTTCTCCAGATACTCGCGTTTCCTCTAAAATGCAAAAAATACTCAAGAGATTGGTTAAATATCCTGAAAAAGTATCGACGCGTTACTGAATAATAAAGAGCTCTATCGTGTAACGTCCTGATAAGTCACACAGATATTCAGCCGAGTGGTGATAAGGCATGAGATCAAATCCTGGTGGAGGGCTGACTCAGCCCGTGACTCCTCTAGAATTGAGATGCATACCATCTTGTGGGATATAAACAGTCATTGTACTTTTTGAGTTACCAGCATCTGCCATAGGAATGTAAATTTCCCACCACTGGATGAAGGCTGCCACTAAATGCTTGTTAGTAAGTACATGAACATGTTTTTATATTATTTTCTCATATACATGCCTTACATTTATGGAACCTAATCTGTCTGTGGGTATAGCTCCACATGCACAAGCTCACAGGGCCGACGCTGATGCACTTTGTGAAGCGGTCGTCAGCACAAATATGGTCGTACAGCTCCTCCATGGCAATCTTGCGCAGCCTCGTCACATGCAGCCGCTCATACACATTCAGAAACCCTGTGGAGGTAGGCATGAGCAGTATAACCAATAGGGGCCCTCCATTTAGTACGTACGCATGGAGGGGATGGGGGGGTTAACCCAAATGCACACGCTTGCGCATGGGGGGGGGGTCTACTGACAATGTTAGTACGCATAGGAAACGGGGGGGGGGGATGAAACCTCGAAAATAATTTGTCTACATTGGCCTTCAAATGAGTTAGATAGTTCGGCGGTGGACTATCTGTTTGCTTAAACACTTTAATATTGTTAATCCTTGATCGTTTCTGCGTGGATTAAATATCGGCCGTTCTCTAGGATTTGGGGGGGGGGGGGTGTAAAAAGTACGCGTGCGTACAGAGAGGGGTCAAGTTTTGACAGATGTTTGCGTATGTACTAAATGGATAGCCCCATACTTCCTTACGTCAAAGGCAGCAGATATGCGCAACATCATTTAAATGTAAATTTTCAATAGCCAAAGGTCAGTAGTGACTGCCAGGACAATATCACACTACTCCAACTATTGGGATATTGACAGATCAACTTCCTCTGCGTGTGCAGTAACGCAACATTGCATACATTATATGTAAATAATTCACTTTTATGACACACCTAACAAACACAATAACACTCAAGAGTGTGGGGCAGTGCTGTCCCCATTTGTGGCACTGCGCCAGTAGACATGCAATAATGCATCGATTAAAATGCATTTTCACTTGCAATTGTGCGTATCAAAATCAATGATTTATTATGCAAATTATATGCTCGTGTGCATTCAGGAGAGGAGAATATGTGACAGGCAGAAGGCACGGGAGAGACTATTCAATTCAAAAGAAGGCAGAACAAATTAAATGGTAGGAACACGTGAGAAATCCATTACAAACAAAATGGACAATACACATTAAACAGAACAAAGTTTAAAATAGACTCTTTAATCGAATTGCGACCCCAAATCAAGTCAATTAATCGCTGGGAGGTTGCATATTTACATCTCTATGAACAGCTGGTGGAAAAATCACATTCCTTTGCCTGGGTTCAACAATAATATTGGGATAAACAAAGGTGTGAGCAACATCGTGAGAAGAGTGAGCCTGAGTTTTCTTGGGGAAGACTTAATCCAGCAGTGGAATTACCATAGCTGATGACGATTGTGTTGAGCCACTAAGATCAACACATTTTAATGCATCAATAATGTACCCTTCTTATTTTAATGATAGTATATTTCAACTTTTATAATTTATGTTGTTTGTGTTGTACAAAATGTATTGCTTTATACAGTGTGTAGGAAGTGTACCACATACCATATGCAAAGTCAAGCAGCCAGCTGTGCGGGGTGTATAGATCACAAGGTGCCACATTATTCCGCTGAGCAGGCCAGTCTATTGACGCATAGTCTTGCACATATAATTCCTATAACAAACATTCACACAGTAAGAACGCATAACATTATGGCATTTGGCAATACACGTTGCTCCGTTACATGACAGTAAAACAAATTCAAATTGGCTCCATTACTCAAATAAGAATCAGGAGATTTCTCATCACCATTGGAGTTCCTGAGCTAGTGTTTGAAATTATATCTTCAAATGATAAGGACAACCACAGCTAAGCACAAAGCGGAACTTCATCAATCCTCAAGTGATGAGCTGAATTGAGCGCAAATGAGATGTCACCACATCACTTCTGTCATTGGCCTATGGACAGATTGGCCACCGCCATAGGAATGTGGAATTTCTTTCACAGGCGTTGAGAGGGTGTCAATGGAGGCGAGCGCTGCCCATCGCTCATTCGAGCGTTGACTCTTGTCCAACTATGAAGGGTAATATTTTGGCAAACATCAGTGGCAGGTGATATCTGAACTGGTCCTGGGCCGACCTCTTTATCAACCTGTAAAGAACAGCCAGGTAAAAGAACAGCTCAATCAGGGGTCGGCAACCTGTGGTTACGGAGCCGAATGCGGCTCTTTAAGGACTGTTTCTTGACGTTATTTATTAAGGACCGTCTTTTATTCACATGCATTACGGCTCTTAAAATGTTGAGTTTTTGACCGAATTCGAAAAAATGGCTCTTCTTGCTATTTTGCTTGCCGACCTTTGACCTAAAGAAAATCTCAAAAAACCTACACGGTAGTGGAAGGAAGACCTTCATCCAACAATGAATTGACAAAGAGACATAACTTAAAGGCATACAAATATCCGATTTTCATTTTTTATAAGCTGCTCTCTTCTCTCTTCTCAAAATGGGAAAATTGCAAGCTCCAATTCCGGTCAAGGGTCGGCTCCCCCTTTTGGTGTCAATATAACGAGTACAGGTTCACATGAAGTCAAAAGCGGTTGTCGTTTGGAGAGTCAGGTCCCTGCTTCCGGCTGAGGGCCGTCAATGGAGATGACCAAGCACTACCTCAATCAAGTCGCTACGAATCTTAACATCGTTCATTGAAGCTCTGTCGTCCCGACAGGTCTGTTCCTTTCACCTGAAGACAGCCGCTTGCGTTGTGGCCGAAACGTCGTGAGAATTTTATTGTGTTATTTTATTATTTTATTTTAATTCTACGTGACTTTACCGAAAGAACCAAAGAAGATGAATCCTTGCAGTCACGAAAGCTTTAAATCGAAATTTTACCTCAATCTTGCCTGAATGAGTGGGCACGCTGGCTTATATCTCTTGCGAAGATGTCGGAATGTGCGTACGTGCACGCACGAACCTGTCGCAAACTACGGACGAGGGAGTCGTCCTCGGAGGCCGAGAGCCGCACGGCGTAGCAGTAGCTCATGGGCAGGTAGACCTGGCGGCAGTGGCACCACAGCGAGGACGGGTGCGCGGGAAACCACCGCGGCAGCAGCCTGAAGCCGACAGCGTGGTGCAGCACACACGTGAGCATGGGGAACGAGTGTGTATGTGTGTGTGATCACGTCATTCACTGCAGTGCAGCCTATTCCCATGGTAAGCAGCGGAGAGAGGATCAGGTGGTGTGTAACGCACCACATCTCTGGGAAGAGGGTATTCATGCCGTCCCAGCTGTACACATTGAGCACAGCGAGCCAAAACTTGCCCCACGACGGAATTCCAATAGCACCGCCTGTTCCACCGCACAAGACAAAGAGAGAATCACATACACTCCCAACATCGGACCAACAATTATATATTTATGTATTGTTTACCCAGTCTCCAGGATATTTTGTGGGCCTATATTCTCTGGGTATTTATGGCCTATGGGTGGGAACTGTATTGCTCGGAGAAAATTCAGGCTCTGCACTTTATATATGTAAGAGGGTGATGGGTGACTGGATAGAAGATGATATACTTGTACTGGTAGGAACGAAGTTGTAAACTGAGTGTACCAGCCTGCAATAGATTAATGTGTCCGTCCATCCGTCCCCTTTCAATACTTTAACGAAGTGAAAAAATCCAATGTTCCTACCAGCCCACCCTGCAGGGACCTGTTCAATGAACACTGTGGGCACTGCTAGGCTCTTCAAAACAGGAAAAACAGTGGCTGTCTGCGTTGCGTCTCTCTAATTTGTGCTGCACAGCGCACGCGTGCGCCTTGCTGGAGAGGCATACCCTTGGCGTGCAGGTTCGCACGGGCCCGCACCAGGTCTGCGTCGTCAGAGTCCACGCCAAGGATCCGCATGGCCACGTAATTAAGCGCAGTGCCAAACACTGTGGACTTGTCCTCTACGTGCCTGCATATACACACACACACAGATGCCGCGTCTAGCTTTGTCTTTTGTTGTTACCGAGCACCTACTAAAGCCGGTACGGCACGCGATACGGTAGTGTGGTCAGCACCATGCTTGACCACCCCTGTCTTCCCAATAAATATGGAAAAATAACAAAAGAACACTTTACAAAATAAGTGGTGCCGATTTCTTTATATATACGATAAAAGTAATGTATATGATTATCTACTTATTACAAAATATTTTACTGTGTGAAGAGAGCCTGTTGTGTTGTGTGAAGATAGCCCTGTTGTGGGCTGTGTCTGTACCCTGCGATTTGTGCACTCACAAGCCCCAGCCTCCGTCAGGTAGCTGAACTGAGCGCAGGTACCGCACCATTTCCCGCTTCTGCATCTCGGCCAGGCGGATGTGAGCAATGTGGCAAGTGATGAGCAGTCCTGGCGCATGGAAACCACATCTATATGAGTAGCAGCTCAGTGCACCAGTCTTTATCACCAATAACACATCAGCCATGACCTATCCACTGCTACATGAATGCCTGTCGAAGCTATATCCATCCCTCATTGTTACATGATGAAACGATCCACCTAGTTCCTGAAAACTAGCTGATCTCAATGTTCTCGCTCTGCATAGGAAGTCCTCTTGGATGTATTCATTTTTGGCTGCCGCTCCATTCTTATTTTCAACCACTGACCATCATCTCTTCTTTATTTGTTTTCATTTTAATTTATTTTATTTTTCACCTACGTGACTTTACCGAAAAAATCAACGAGTATCATCTCTTCTGTCGACATGTTCTGCCAAAGTCAGCTTACTTTTCAATCAATATCAGTTCTCAAAACCTGTTTGTTCTCTGATCCATGTGGTTCTGTCTCCCAGTGAAATTCCAAACATGCACATTCTCCAAGTGAAGTTCCAAACATGTACCCCCTAATAATTCATTGAACATATTTCAGCATTTGTTCCATTTTTCAGCCAGTGTCCATGTTTCTAATGCATGTCATAGCAGATAAATATACACTGATCAAACATTTTATTAAGGAAAATAGGTATGCTGCTTTTCATTGTCAATGTCAATTTACAAATCCACTCTAACCTGCTTTGACCCATTATAAGACTAGTATATCTCTCTGGGCTGTTGTCGGAAGTCTTTAGCTGGGTATGTGCCGATAATGAGTGTAGATGAAAGTGAAAGACATCCATCTGTCTCAAGTTGCAAACTGTTTATATCTTGAATATCTATCAGAATCCATGAAAATATAGCCACTCGTTTTTTTTCAAATATATTGTTTGTGAATATCGATAACCTGTCCATAGTGCATTAATGATGTTGGTAATGGAATTACACTGGGTGATTTAGTGCAGTTGCTGCAAAGTAAATACTTATATAATTATCAAAAGTCAAAGCGTGTCTCTTTCAAAATGTAAAATGGGGCAGCTCTAATCTAAGTGGGCAGGCCTGAGCCTGCGTGGTGTAATTGCCACATTACCAAAGCAGACGACAGCCCCTGCCATTGGAAGATCACTACTGAATTTGTAGAAAATAGTTATCATTTTATTGACCATAGACATGAATGCTTTGCACCAGGGCACCTGGACGCATATAGCTTTATTAAGCTGTTATCTTGTAAACATGCAATGTATTTTTATTCCATTAGAGAATATTCAGGTATGTGGAATTTCCATTGATGGCTTTCAGTCGCCAGTAGATATAAGCATTATTTCATCATGGCAACACTTTGTCTCTGACTTTTTGAGGGCACCTGGCAGCAAAAAGAGAGGTCCCCCGTAGTCTCCAGACCAGTGTCCATCCTCGGTCTGCAAGAGTTTGTAGAAGGCCATGCCATTGCGCGCTGCCTCCCGTGCCGTTGTCGCTTGCGGAAGATTCCCGGCAAATTCCACCTGTCACCAGAAATGACTCACAAATCAACTTCCAATGCAGCACTTCAAAACTGTGGTCCAGTCCACTTGCTGCGAGTCCTAGCCAATGGTAGTTAGGTCCAGTGACTCGAGTCTGGGAACTTTGGGGGTCGATTCAGCTTTTCATTTCTGGGAACCATGAGTGTGGCAAATCAACAGTGGTTAGGTTCTGAATATACTGGCCTGTGCCATGAAAATGTGCCAAGAGAGAAGAGCGCCTCCCATAAACTCTTGTATTAATGTTTGTTGCTTTGTCTTTCAATGTGTTACATAAAAGTTGTTGCCTCAAGCACTCATGTACTTATATTTAATTGCCATAATATAGAGCTAGGATTCGCTTCAACAATTCTGAATTATGTCATGTTTGAGGTGGTTTTTATTGTTTTTTTGTCTCGTTTTTACAATTTAGTTTACCGCATTAGCCGACGTAAAAATGTGCAAAATCAGCGTAACGTCTGCATACAATTTTCACAAGGTGAAAAACACCTAACGTTGCCCACATGCTTGGATACGTGCACCGTGAGCGTTAATGATCAATATTAATCCACGTGTCGTTACACCCATAGTCGTGAAGCGGTGAAATGTGCCCCGTTGTCCATTCCGTGTGACGGGGCGAGTGCGCGGCGCTCACGGTGTCGAGACCCAGGGCGTGCCGCTCGACTACGTTCTGTGGCCGCGGCTCGCCGTCCCCGCACTCCACGAAGCTCCACGTCTGCCGCCCGTCCTCGTTCCTCAGCCGCCAGCGCGACAGCTCTGACGCCGGCTCCGTGCGGTAGGGCCCCCCGCGCCGGCGGAGCAGCGTGCTGCAATACACGCACGGGCAACACCGTGACACCGTCTTCACGCGGATGTCATTTGTAAAATGAAATGCTTTGCAACTTGCTTTTTCGGAGTAATGTAATTGATGGAAAGGAAATTATACGGTTTCATCATATTTGTGGTGCAGCGACTAGTAATACAAACGTGCTCTTGAGGCTGCGTGTTAATCATATTTTCTGGAGGGTAAATCCCTGATAATACAATTATACTAAAAATGTATTTATGCACAGTATTCTATCATAGTTACGAGGGGTTATATCTGCATGCAGATAGAGCTAATCTATTGATATAAAAAATACAAGCAAATATGAGCGGAATTATTTTCTCTAACCACATATAAACAGTGTTCACGGTTTATTTACTCTATTAGCCGATTGGATTTCCAGAAAAATATCAAGCTTCACTGCTCATGAGACCAAGAAGTCAAAACCAGGCCAGAGCTTTTTTTTTGCTTATACAAATACTACTTGATAACTGTCTTTAGATTTTTTTAGTTTTTGTTTTATTCAAGTTATAAATACAAACATTTAATACAAACCAAACACAGTAACAAAATAAACAATCTTCCGTTGCATACCGGTCCCTCTGCAAATAAAATGACTTTTTTACACACGCCATCAGCCTTCTGGGACTGCATAATTTCGACTGCATTCGTCTCAACAATAAAATTCTAAACGGCCCTCTTGAACGAATGAATGCTGGCAGACCGCTAAATTTTTACTGGAATAAGCCCTCGGTAGTCTGCTAGTAATGAAGATTACCTAGATCTACAACTGCTGTATCACACATCCATCCTGCCCTAAGTGATACCTATCGCTTACGTCTGGTACACGTACAACCCAAAACGTGCAGTAATAATCGACCACAGCAATTGCACTGACGATGACTTTATATAATTTCCACGTCGCCAATTACTCTGACAACAGTGTGCAAAGCAGCATTACTTTAATGGATATAGCAATTTGTTGATAATTTCATTGCCTTTGTTGGTGTCTATCATGTTGTCACCGAACTACAGGGTGTTTAAAAAGAGATGGACACAATTTCAAAGCAGTATATTTCAAGATGGCAACATGTTACAACTACACAAAAAGTTACAAACTCTTTAATGAGTTATCAAGTTTTACTAAACATTTTATAAATGCTCTACGTGCCCTCCACCTGCTGTACGGACAACATCGAGACGATAGTTGAATTCGTCCCAAACGCCTCCCTTCTCACGTTTTCCTCTGAGGTGCATGGTCACCCTGTGCTCTTCCCCTTACATAAACAGCAGCCCGTTTCCTTAAATTGTCGGCACCAATGACGAATGCTCTTTGACATTGGCGGATCAATGCCAAAACGCCGTTGAAACACGCTGCACCACAATTACGGATTTAGTCTTGCTGAACTGTAGAACGCAAAACGCCCCTTGTGTTGCGGTGGGGTCACCATCTAGAGAATTACTTGAGGCTAGGGGCTGTTTATGTGCTAGGGTCACCATCTAGAGAATGACTTGAGGCTAGGGGCTGTTTATGTGCTGGGGTCACCATCTAGAGAATGACTGAGGATAGGGGCTGTTTATGTGCTGGGGTCACCATCTAGAGAATTACTTGAGGCTAGGGGCTGTTTATGTGCTAAGGTCACCATCTAGAGAATGACTTGAGGCTAGGGGCTGTTTGTGCGCTGGGAGAGGCATCTCGCGGTAATCATTTTAAACTTTATGCCCCGCCCTCTCTATGCCCCGCCCTCTCTATGCCCCGCCCTTTCGAGTGGTAAGAGTTTCATTCATGGGCGGTTCGTGGTTGCAGAGATATCGCGATTTCAAAGCGGGTCTATCTTTTTGAAAGACCCTGTGTGTATATATACCTTACACAAATTAAATGCGCAACGATATTTTGCAACAAAAAAAACGGAAATCGTGCGAGATATATATCGTCGTTATTGCCATATCGCGGCATTCCCAGCGAGTACAAGGCGGGGACTGTCAGCCCCCAATGTCCCCACGAGAGCTCAGATGCACCACGCCGCTAGTCAAAGGCGGTGTGTACGCAACTTCGTGGTACGGCGTACGGAGTTTCACGTTGTGTGTTTACGTGGTTTGTCGCCGAAACGTTGCGCTGACACTCCGTACGGTACGCGGGATTTCTCCTGCACGGTATGCATGCCACTGCCTGTCACCCCACCAACGTGTGTATGCGTGTTGTTCATGATTGCCATGCGGAGTGTGCTATGTGGCCGAGGTAGAGGCGATGTGTGTAACCGAGGAGCTGTCATCATCAGGCGCGGGCAGCGAGTGCGGGGCGCACACGTGGACAGCGTGCGGTCGTGTGCGGTGTGCAGCGCCACTCACGTGCCCTCCGTCATCGCCGCTCGCCTGCTGCTGCACCCTGCAACACACTGCCTCACTCACTCCCTGCCTCACTCCTTGTGTCACTCACCCCCTGCCTCTCTCACTGATTCACTCACTCCCTGTCTCTCTCACTGATTCACTCACTCCCTGCCTCACTCCTTGTCTCACTCACTCCCTGCCTCACTCACTGATTCACTCACTCCCTGTCGCTCTCACTGATTCACTCACTCCCTGTCTCTCTCACTGATTCACTCACTCCCTGTCTCTCTCACTGATTCACTCACTCCCTGTCTCTCTCACTGATTCACTCACTCCCTGTCTCTCTCACTGATTCACTCACTCCCTGTCTCTCTCACTGATTCACTCACTCCCTGCCTCACTCACTGATTCACTCACTCCCTGTCTCTCTCACTGATTCACTCACTCCCTGTCTCTCTCACTGATTCACTCACTCCCTGCCTCACTCACTCCCTGCCTCACTCACTGATTCACTCACTCCCTGTCTCTCTCACTGATTCACTCACTCCCTGTCTCTCTCACTGATTCACTCACTCACTGTCTCTCTCACTGATTCACTCACTCCCTGTCTCTCTCACTGATTCACTCACTCCCTGCCTCACTCCTTGTCTCACTCACTCCCTGCCTCACTCACTGATTCACTCACTCCCTGTCTCTCTCACTGATTCACTCACTCCCTGTCTCTCTCACTGATTCACTCACTCCCTGTCTCTCTCACTGATTCACTCACTCCCTGTCTCTCTCACTGATTCACTCACTCACTGTCTCTCTCACTGATTCACTCACTCCCTGCCTCACTCACTCCCTGTCTCACTCCTTGTGTCACTCACTCCTTGTGTCACTCACTGATTCACTCACTCCCTGCCTCACTCACTGATTCACTCACTCCCTGTCTCTCTCACTGATTCACTCACTCCCTGTCTCACTCCCTGTCTCACTCCTTGTGTCACTCACTCCTTGTGTCACTCACTGATTCACTCACTCCCTGCCTCACTCACTGATTCACTCACTCCCTGTCTCTCTCACTGATTCACTCACTCCCTGCTTCTCTCACTGATTCACTCACTCCCTGCCTCACTCCTTGTCTCACTCACTCCCTGTCTCACTCCCTGCCTCTCTCACTGATTCGCTCACTCCCTGTCTCTCTCACTGATTCACTCACTCCCTGCCTCTCTCACTGATTCACTCACTCCCTGTCGCTCTCACTGATTCACTCACTCCCTGCCTCTCTCACTGATTCACTCACTCCCTGCCTCTCTCACTGATTCACTCACTCCCTGCCTCACTCCTTGTCTCACTCACTCCCTGTCTCACTCACTGATTCACTCACTCCCTGTCTCTCTCACTGATTCACTCACTCCTTGTGTCACTCACTGCCTCTCTCATTCACCGATCCGCCACTGTCGCTGCACGACTCCGCCCCGCGGCTCGTGGTGGGGGCGGGGACCGTACACGAGCCCCGCCCCTCGGCGTGACGTCACCGTGCCGCGGCGGTCGCGTGAGGCGAGCGCGCGCCTCCGCCCGGCCAATGAGGAGCGGCGCGCGATCGCGTGGCGCGCGCCGGCGCGTCACACGGCCGATGTATCCGTGCGCGGGGGCCCGGTGACTCGCCCATAACGGCCCCGCCCCCACCTCCCGCGCCGCAGCGAGGGACTCTTTAGTGTGCGGAGTGCGCTGTGAGCAGTGAGGCGGCTGGAGCAGACAGACACGCTGCGACTCTCGCCTGCTGTGCGCCGCGTGTCCTCCTCGTCGCGATGCTGGCCACGGTGATGGAAGCTGGCAACGCCGTGCTGGAGCAGATGAGCCCCTCGTCCTGGGCGCTCGCCGCGTCCGCGCTGCTCTTGGCGGTGGTGCTGGGCGCCAGTCGCGGAGCAGGGAAAGCTCAGGTGAGATGTGGTGCATCTCCCTCACCACCCACCTCCCTGCACACCGCCTCCCTGCACCTGACCTCCCTGCACCTCGCCTCCCTGCACGCCGCCTCCCTGCACCTCGCCTCCCTGCACGCCGCCTCCCTGCACGTCGCCTCCCTGCACCTCGCCTCCCTGCACACCGCCTCCCTGCACCTCGCCTCCCTGCACGCCGCCTCCCTGCACGCCGCCTCCCTGCACCTCGCCTCCCTGCACGCCGCCTCCCTGCACGTCGCCTCCCTGCACGCCGCCTCCCTGCACCTCGCCTCCCTGCACGTCGCCTCCCTGCACGTCGCCTCCCTGCACACCGCCTCCCTGCACCTCGCCTCCCTGCACGCCGCCTCCCTGCACGTCGCCTCCCTGCACATTCCCTCTCTACAAATATAACTCTCACCCCTCTGCACTACATCTCTCTCACCTTCCTGCACATAAATTATCTCACCTGCACATCACCTCTGCATATCATCTCACCTGCTTGCACCTCGCCTCCCTGCATCTCACCTCACCCCCCCAACCTTATCCCCCCCTGCCCATCTCGCCTCCCTGCACGCCGCCCTTCAACTTCGCCACGGTGGTTATTGCGATGGCCGTGTTGCTCGGATGTTAAGAGTGCCGACCCTAGCATCACCGAGATCCTGGGTTCGAATCGTGGTTCTCTCAAGTGCAGTGAGTTAATAGTCTCGGCCCGGTCACCAATGACTGCACTTAAACCCCCATTCCATAAAATTACCGTATTTTCCCGCATATAACCCGCGGGGTATACCACTCTTTACAAACAAGACCCTGCGGGGTATATGGAGGTGCGGGCTATCCCAAAAATATTTTACACGTGTGACATGCCATAACTCGTTTATTTTTTTCATGGTAGGACTATCCACTGTGCAACACTTACCTTTGACTTAAGCACTGCTGAATAAACCACTCGCACTAAAATTGCACATGTTATCACGTTTTAAATTATTCCAATTGTTTGGGGGGAGAGAGAGGTGGGGGCTTGGGGGCGAGGCAACGGCGCTTACCATAGTGCCGCTATTATCTGCGCAGTGCGCAATCTACCAGCGCTAAAACTGTACTTATCTACCAGTTACGTGTTACTTTTGTTACTTATTTACTGTTTCAAGTTCACTCGTTTCCGGTTAGTTTTTTTCTTTGTGCACGTTATGATTTTCATGTTAACAATTTATAGTGGAATGTATTACAAATGTAAACTTCCTATTTGATGAAATTAAGCTGCGGTAACGACGTTAAATCTATGAATGCATGCGGGGTATATGTTGGTGCGGGCTATCTGAAATTTGTTTTACATAAAACGCTATTTTTGCGGGGTGTATGCGTCTGCGGGTTATATGCGTATGCGGGTTATATGCGGGAAAATAAGGTAGGTTCTGCCCGTTATGTCAATTATTTCCAGCTCTGATAATTTTAAATACTGTACTGTATTTGCTGAAATATGCGATGAAAATGATTCTCTTTAGTCGGGCGGGTATAAAGTGCTGCCCCTACTGACTTTGTTGACCTGAGGTCACTTCGAGGGATCTCAGAAATAGTTCTGATATATCCCCTTCAGTGGGCCACTGTTTAACACGAAAGATTGCACTGCCCTACGAATTCGGTATGCATTTATTAAATCGCAGCTATCTTTTGTCATGATCTAACGCGGACTGCTCGTGTGGCGATATCCCCGTTTTCGCATGAGGAATGTGCAGTGAACAGGACTGCGTATGTCTCCACAGAAGCACCCGCCGCACATCCCCTCGCACATTCCCTTCCTGGGCCACGCCATTGCATTCGGACGCAATCCCATCGACTTCCTGGAGAACGCCTTTGAGAAGGTAAGGCGATGCCAGCTCGGGGTCCGGAGCGCAGAACGGCTTAAGACATCTTAAGATAAGATTTCGCGCAACTCTCGAGTAAGAGTTTGTGAAGGTCCAAGATATCATACAGGTAGGCAGGGACCACTCGTAAGTTTCATACACAGCACGTTGAATGCTTCTGCACCCTTTGTATGACCTGACCTCGACATCTCTGCACATCGCCTGTCCCTGTGGCTGTTGTGTTGTTGTGGGGCAGTATGGGCCCGTGTTCAGCTTCACCATGGTGGGAAAGACGTTCACGTACCTCCTGGGCCCTGACGCAGCCGCACTGCTCTTCAATAGCAAGAACGAGGACCTGAATGCCGAGGAGGTTTACTCGCGCCTCACCACGCCCGTCTTCGGTCCCGGAGTGGCCTACGACGTGCCCAACCCGGTACGAGATGTGGCAACGCTCGGCCAAGTCTAATATCGCATCACTAGCCAGTCACGTCTCTTGCTGTGCGTCCAGTTTGGCTGCACTGCAAAGTGACAGCGGGGCCTGAAATACAAGGTCACGATGCCCCTGAAGCCAAGTATGTTATTGTAATGCCTATGTCACCCCGTGCTCTACCATGTCCAGGTGTTCCTGGAGCAAAAGAAGATGCTGAAAACCGGGCTCAACATCTCCCAGTTCCGGCAGCATGTGCACATGATCGAGGAGGAGACACGAAACTACTTTGAGCGCTGGGGCGTGAAGGGGCAGCGTGGTGCGTCCTAGCTCCGCATCGCTCACCACATTTTCTGTTGCTTCACTTGTCTTTAGGTCCAGCCGTCATGCTGTGCTTAGAACACTCTACGCACCGATAGAGCAATTCTATTCTTATGGATGGCAATATGTTCGGGGGCTAAATGTCGAGGTCTTATATTTCTGAACATTTTGAATTATGTTTGTATCCTGTGTATGTTCTGTCATCCATGCAATGCTCTTTCTGTCTCTCAATGCAATTATAAGCACGTATCACTCTATTCTTCTTTAAATCGTTTTCCCATGCTCCTATGTGCTGCAGACTTCTTTGAGGCCCTTTCGGAACTCATAATCCTGACGGCGAGCCGCTGCCTGCATGGCAAGGAGATCCGCGCCATGCTCACGGAGCACGTCGCACAGCTCTACAGCGACCTCGACGGGGGCTTCACCCATGCCGCCTGGTTGCTTCCTGGGTGGCTGCCCCTGCCCAGCTTCCGGTAACAGCTCTGGCCAGGCACTTGCAAAGCAAGACAACCTTATACTTGTGATTCAAAACAGCAGATGGCAAGAAAGAGTGTTGCTCACCAAAAAGATCTTCCCAAAGATGCATATCGGCAGCTCTTCTCAGGATGGAAACTATGAATCTCCCAGTGAGGGGCATACAGTAGAGAACAAGTACAGATGGTTGAGCCTGCCAATATAAGACCAGGATAACCTCCAAAGGACATCTAAATATGGGGAGGCACTGTCCAGTTCTGGTGTGAGGTGGTGAGCTTAAGCAAATCACCCATAATGCACCCAATCTCATGAGATATCTGAAGCCAAGCAGTTTTGAGCCTGGATAGAGTGTGGATGGGTAACCGCCATGCACGCCGGGTTTTCACAGGTGGCTTCAAGACACTTATGTAGTGGTCTGCAGATGGCAGTACAGACAAATGTTGTGGTACTGTGCTTCTATGCTACTACATGTACTCCCTGCCTTGACAAACCTGCATTGACCAGCCTGATGAAAGTCAAATAACCCCCATGACCCACAGTGTGGGGAGGTCCTCATCTAGCAGTGTACATATGAGGTGGTGATATGACAATGCAGGGTGTTTACACCTGTCATCTTCAAGATCCATCACCTGCAATCACTCACCCTTTTGAACACCCATGATATTGAGCGGTGGTGCCTCTGTGCTCCGTGCTGCCCTAACCTCAGGAAGCGAGACCGGGCACACCAGGAGGTGCGGCGCGTGTTCAAGACCGTCATCCAGAAGAGGCGGCGTGACGCCGAGAAGCAAGACGACATGCTGCAGACCCTCATTGATGCATCCTACAAGTACTGCCCCCTCCCCCTCACATCTCGGTGCCTTTGCTCATACGTGTGTGCCTGTACCATGACAACTGTCTGTGAACTTCTGTCCATTGTTTTCTGTAATGGCCTGTATCTGTAACTAACAATTGCTGCGACAAAGTTGACCCTGACTGGGATCTGAACTCACGTTCTTTTGCTTGTGAGTCGAGCGGTCTGCATGGCACCGCCTCTCCACGTGTTGGGTGAGAGGCAGCAGCGCGGTGTGATCTAAAGGAAGGTTGCCATGTGCCCGAGCCTTGTTGCTGTTGGTGGGCTGTGGCGATGCAGTGTTGTGTGTTTTGCGTTGCCAAGATTAGCATGGTTAGCTACGTACAGGGCGAAATAAGTTCTACATACATACAAATAAAGATCCAAGATAATTGTGTCGTCCGTTTTTAAAAGTTATCATTACATTGTGGTTATTTTAGAAATATTTTATTTCCTGATAGTATTCAGGATATAAATAAATAGCTATTACCAATGAAATTCGTTCTTTACAAAACATTTTTCGGAGAAAATGAAGGCTTTGCAGTTCACATAATTTTCATAGCTTCTTTAATTGCTTGATTAAGTATTGTGTAACTAACGTAATTTTTGTTACAAGCATTATGGATTGTGACGTTCAATGGCGGAGCCAGGATTTTCAGGTAGGGGGGCAACCCCTCCAGCAATGAAAAATGATAGGAGTTTAGTCATTAAGGACTTGTTCCTTGATTTTTTTTTATGCGTGTGTGGCGATGGCGCAGCCATCGATCGAGTGTCGAATTCGAACTATGTGTGATCTGCATTGCGCTCACTGAAGGTGAATGCCTTCAGGGAAGTTGTGTACTATATACGCAACTGCGCACAATTCTGAGTCACTTATAACTGCTTTGCCGTTATATATTGCCAATTATGGACTCAGACTATTGTCCTATCATCTCAGAGTCCCTGGCACGTAATAATATGCTACACAGTGGCAGTGGGGGTCGCAAAATGCCGATTTATTACTAATAAACCACAATGATCCTGTCGAATTTAGGGATTTCGATCGGATCATTGGGGGGGGGCACGTGCCACCCCACCCCCACTAGCTCCGCCAGTGGTGACGTTGCAATAATTTAATTATGGCAGGCTCATTTTGACTGACTCCAGTTGAATAACTTTTAAGTAATTTTAATTCGTACAGGAAGTATATCAATGCGCACAACCATTACTATAAAATAGAAAATACAATTATAAACTCATGGGAAACTGATAATGCGGTAATCATCATCATGAAATGTCTATCGTGGTGTGTGCGCGCACGCGTCAGGGATGGGCGAACGCTGTCGGACGATGAGATCGTGGGGATGCTCATAGGGCTGTTGCTGGCCGGGCAGCACACATCGTCCACGACGAGCGCGTGGCTCGGCTTCTTCCTGGCACGCGACCCCGCACTGCAGGCGCGCTGCTACGCCGAGCAGAAGGCCGCGTGCGGGGATGAGCTGCCACCTGTGGAGTATGACCAGGTATCGCCACCCAGCCTTGCGGAACGCACTTAACAGAGCACACTGCTTCTCCATTGCATTGTGTGTGCATGTGTCTATCTTGCATCCTGTAGACCTGCAGCTAATATTTAAAGTATTTGAATCAATTATATTTTGTAATGCCCAATTTTTTTTTATCATTTATTCCCAGTGCCTTAAACATTGGACATAGGGCAGTTTCAAATTGTGTATCGCTAATGCCGTCCTCACGCCCGTACGCACCCAGAGCCAATGCCATGAAGATAACGCTGCTGCTGATGTGCGATGAGTGTGCGGCATCCGTGTTGTTTATCGTGCGATGCATGTAATAAGTGTCCTGTGTTTAAGATGTGTGTATGATGTGTATCTGATATTTACGTGGTTTGGGTATGATGTGCTCAGCTCAAAGACCTCGTGGTGCTGGACAGCTGTCTGAAGGAGACACTGCGCCTGCGCCCGCCAATCATGACCATGATGCGTCTGGCCAAGACCCCACAGGTGCAGCCTCTTGAGCCTGAGCCACATCCTTGAGCTCACTGCTGTTTTAGGCCATGATGAGGTGTCGCCAATGCTGGGAGAAACTTCTACCTGAACCTTCTATGTCGACCACTTGGGGCACCCTTGTCACTCAGTCACTTGCCAAGCTTACCATAGTTGGTTGGTAGGTAGATTGCTGTGGCATTGCCTGCCTTGGATTTATGAACTGGAATTCCTATCGGTGATTCTTCTATAGACAGGCTGGACCCTGCCACAGAAATCGGCACTTGTCAACAATGGCTCAAAGCGACCAACAGAGAAGAGCACTGCTATAACTGTTGTTGACACAAAGCTTAAGGTGTTGAAGGTAACTACTGGAATTCCTTATATATTGACGATGCTGGCCATGTGGAATTTTGGGTAAGCTTAACTTCCTATATGTGTGATGCTTGCTGTGCTTGTGCAGACGGTGTGTGGCTACACCATCCCTCCGGGGCACCAGGTGTGCGTGTCACCCACGGTGAACCAAAAACTGAACTCTGCGTGGACCCAGCCCAGCAACTTCAACCCTGACCGGTTCCTGCAGGAAGGAACCTCCAACTCAGAGAAGTTCTCCTATGTGCCGTTCGGGGCTGGTATGTTCACGCATGCACTTCCCGTGCCCTCATACTGTGGTTGTTGGATGTTGCTGTGAACAACATTTTCCAGTTGCAAGTAATGTACTCTTTCATATATCCATGTACATAAGAGTGGTTGTATCAAGTACAGTGATAGTGGCAAGAGGCGAGATTATTTATTTAATCGGCATTTGATTGACCTTGTCACGCTAAATCTCGTTGTTGAATATCTTCGTGCGCATGTTTTTTGTGTGAAGGACGCCACCGTTGCATCGGGGAGAACTTTGCCTATGTGCAGATCAAGACTATCTGGTCCACTCTGCTGCGCATGTTTGAGTTTGAGCTGGTGGATGGCCACTTCCCCGAGATCAACTACACCACCATGATCCATACGCCCAGCAACGCCATCATCCGTTACCAACGCAGGGACCGCTGAGCCCAAGTCCCACTGATCAGACCATCTGCGTCAAGGCAGGGGCTCTGTCCACATCAACCCACTCACCACCATCTTCCCTGTGCTGCCGTCCAGCACTTGTGCAACCATATCACACGTTCACTGCAGAGACTACACCTCATTGTCCACACTCTGTACATATGTAACCCTGTGCAAACATAAAATGCCTCTCCACCGATAAAATGATGTGATTCTCAGGGCTATGTCACTGCATTGAGCCAGCAACCACTCGGTTCCTGGGTTTTGGTCCCTATTGCGGTGAAATGTGATATTTAGCAAGTTTCACAAACACGATGCATACACGTGTGAAATCTGTCAAATACAGCTCGGCACTTGATTTTGTGAATCCCAGCCCTTGTGGGATGCATTAATGTATATATATATCAAGACACGAAGTGAAACACTCATCTGCACATGTGAAATTGAGATGAGTTGTGGGAAGATGCCTATTCAAGACATCACCACTAGTTTTGTGGAGTCATTCAATAATATTCTGTGTTGATGCACAATGACTCGGTGCTGTGCTGTCTAGGTTTCATGATGGGCCAGCCACCACTTTAGCTCTGCCTTGGGGTCAGCAGCGGAGTTGAGATAAAATACAAGTGTGTAAGAGAATCACTGATATGATAATTTTACATGTTACCGTGGTAATTTATTTGAATATATCAAACAAAGTGTTTGGAAGTTTGTGCATATTTTACAAAGTTGAAGTTAGAAATTAAATGTTAAACATTTAATCCAGAATGATTTACCCACACGGATATACTGTACTTTGCAAGAAACGTGAAGCCTGCTGTCTTAATTGTATCTCATACGTTGTGCAATGGCGTTGCATTCGTAGACAATGGATAAAATAAATTTTGCGTTTGTTACTTGTAAGTCTTCAGTTTAACGTGAACGGCAAAATGGCGTGGAGAAAATAAACCATGGTTTACATGGGAGGTTTTTTTTTAACTTAACATTCGTGACAGCAGGAATGAATATTCTTTGGTTCTTTCGGTAAAGTCACCTAGATAGAAAAAAATGACAATAAAAATAAGGTGAATAAAAATAATACTGAAGCCTGCTTCTTAATCGGAGTGTACTGGCAGTCTATAATGTAGACTAGCAATGGTTATTAAGCTGGGTGAGTGTACTGGTAGTCTATGATGTAGACAACCTCGGTAAGTACTGGCAGTCTATAATGTAGACTATAGCCTACATTTTTTTTTAAATGCCACCACGTTTCGATCGCAACACACACGGTCGTCCTGATGACAACCGCTTGTGTCGCAATCGAAACGTCGTGGCTTTGTATTTAGATTTTTCAGGCTAGTCTACATTATAGACTGCCAGTACACTCACCGACGTTAAGAACCAGGCGACAGTTTCATGATTATGCGCATTTTCTGCATGAATCGAGGGAGACCTGTACAAATGGCTTCAAGGGCATGCGCATGAAAGGAAATGTGGAATTCAACGTGGTGGTAAGATGGTGTTGTATTCCCATGTTCAGTTCACTGTAGACAATTTGCAGTTAACATTTTAGTTTGAAAACTTAAGGACCTGATTTTTTTTGTAGTGGACAGTGGTAAAATTTTGTTAATACCCCAAAACAGAGGAATGTATTTTGTAAACACTTTGTTTTGTATGTTATCCATGCCACGTCTAACAATGGTATTTTATTTACCGACATTCTTCGTGATAAAAGCACACGCTTTTTGCAGCCAGGCATATGCTTGCGATTAAGCACTTTGGGTACGTGTATTGATGGATCATGTAGATGTGAAACTAGCAAACTCATTGGGATAAAGTGCATTAACTGATTTGTGTGGACCCATGAACGTTGTCTCATGGGTATGCGTTTTCTCAAGGTATTCTGGTTTCCTGATACTCAATACAAAATAAATTGACAAACATACCAATACAAGACCCTTAGTCTTTAAGACTCGGTGAGCCATTCCTGGATATATTACATTATGTAAACGAATTTGATTTTGTTCATTTATCACCTGGTCCCCTTCCATTGTATGACGACACCGACCAAACAACCGCAATACACACAGCCACGGTTCAAACGGCCATTAAAACTTTTGATTCGTATCTTTATTTCTTGAACAGAATTAAAAACTTAGCTTTCCAACACATTTACAAAAATACAACCTCATGGGCCAGAGGCGCGTGGAGAAATTGCCATGCGGTAAGAGCACTCCTGCGAGCTGGCACACATGGAGCCACCACACAGCTGACAGCCCCACAGCACAGATAATTATTTACCAGATCATACATTCTGATGGCAGAATACCTAATACACACAAGGGGTGGTCGAAACATTCCAGTATTGAGTAAAACATTCGCTTCACTAACTTAAGATTGGTATAAAATCCCAATATTTATTTAATTGCCTACCTCCTGGTGCAAGCCTCCCCACGCTTTTGCCATAACAAGCGGTGGCACAATCCATCTGGCTCTGGCACCTGAGCTTATCTTATCAGGTGGTCATCCTCGCAGGTACGTTCTCTCATTTGGCTACCATTGCATCACCAGACTTGCATTACCAGTCTTTAATCCATCCAATGATGTATTTTACCTAAACCACTGAGTCAATATACCCCTGATATACATTTGTTCTGAGATCAGTGCTTAATTATAATCCCCAGGTGTGTCATTCTATTTGTGTAATTCTAACCATATGTCTTTCCATGCTTCTTTGCACACTTTTCAACTTTGATACACTGATCTGTAATTTATTTCTAATTTTATGTTACGAGAGCACATTAAAGGGGGTGACTATGGAAACGAAAGTTGTGCCTGTCCGAACAACCATTCACATATCTGTACATCTGACCTTGCAACAGCACCATTTGGTCAAATTGTCACTTTCAGTTCATGTAGTTTTATGTTACGTTTTTGCTTAGTTTACATTTCATGAACTCGTCGGATCAGGATGAGAGCTCATTCACACAGGAGCAAGTATAACTCATCACTGCCTCCCACCCTTGCACTCACCTCTTTTGAGAGGAGGGACTATTAACTGCAGAGTATGCATTAATAGTGTTACTACTCATACAGTTCATTCTGTACAAAGAAACAGCAAATTGTATGATAATAAAAACACACAAAAAGAGTACAGGAGAAACAAGCAGAATGTATTGTGACATGCTAAAATGAATAACAGATAAATATTATCAAAAACTGAGCGTTTGGATTTCTTTTTTTCTAGAAATCCATCGTCAAACGTGCTGATGAAGCCGTGCGTGTCTTGGGGCTCATGGTTTTAGTTCAGAGGCCCTGCGCTGTTTGCTGCGGACATCGTCGTGCTGGGTGGGTCCCGTTCACTTGACTCGCTGGTTGTCGGCTGGCCATTATGGGAGGTAGTCCTGGGTTACCATCCATGCCAAGGGTCATGTCGTCTCACCTCCGGCTGCTCGGGCGATACCGTGAACTTGGCGATCCATCCATGCCAAGGGTGATGTCTCATCTCCGGCTGCTCAGGCGATACCGTGAACTTGGCGATCCATCCATGCCAAGGGTGATGTCTCACCTCCGGCTGCTCAGGCGATACCGTGAACTTGGCGATCCATCCATGCCAAGGGTGATGTCGTCTCACCTCCGGCTGCTCAGGCGATACCGTGAACTTGGCGATCCTGTCACGACAGTTTCACTAAACGAGGGCCGATGGGCCAACCAGCCGATATCCACATCTTTACTGCCTTTGAATACAAATATTAGTTCCCATTATTGGATTTAGATTTGTCAAACGTTATTCTTGGCTGTGTTAACTTTATGTGAAGATGTTGCACCGTACAGCCAGGCAAGATGCTGTCTATATCACTCATTAAATGTGTTGTGTGCCACCCTTAAGATGTATTTGAGAATCATGATCGGTTACTAACTTTTGGAGGTCAACTTGACCTATCACCCCTCCACAGTGCTTATAAAATTAGTGCCACTTTGTGAAAGGTCAGCAATAGTTCCATGGAGAAAATGGTATGGAGAATGGGACAGTAGAATTTACAAAACTGACTGAGGGCACCAATGAACTTGAGCACCACACACTCATTTGAGCAGGGCGACACTGTCTTTGAAAAAGTGAAATGGTTTGAATGTAAGACTATCATTGCTCAACAAGGAGCCTTGGTGTATGGTGGTATTATTTGTAGCATAACATGCATTTTTTTTAATAACACAAGGTGAGTGGCTCTTGTTTTAATTGCTCATTCCCTGTTTTTTCAATTTAAATCACACCTGAACATGACAGTGTGCTTGGAATGTGACAATTGGATTGGTGCACATTGACATCTGCCAGGGGTAACCCAACATCTTTTTAGGGTCAATAAAATACATACCACTTTGTGTTCCAATTTCTGGAACTCTATTGGATATCTTACAGAGACTAGCCTCTGTCAAAGTAATGTAGAATTTCCAACACTGCCTTAAGGCTGCCAGTGAAGTCGAGCATTGCCCATTGCTCACGTGAGCAGATCGGATTCTGCACAGTACTGGCTTGTCCCAGTGGTACGGCGTGGGGAAGGCTGCGTCCCTGTACTTTACCTGGCTGCAGGCCGCCCAGACGGTGCTGCAGGGCCTCCAGGCGTCCAATGTAGTCGGTGAGCGAACGCTCGGGGTCCTGCGTCTGTGACGTGTAGGTGACGTGTGCAGGCGAGAGGCTCATGTGCTGGGCCAAAGGTGATGACGCTGCCTGCTGTCGGCTGCATCAACCACACACCCAGAGACGCGGTTTAAACACCCAGAGCACGCTGGCAACATCGACACCTTGGCTGTGTGACCGCACACAGCAGCAACTCGTTCGTCAGGATTTATTCAGTCTTTTTCACATTTTTGTATATATGTATATCTCCACTATACCGTCATGGAGCTAAGAAATGTCTTTTAAGTCTCTCAATCAATATAACATTACATCATTTGTGAAATCTGCCCCAGAAGATGACGCATAGAACCATTTACAGAATCATTTCAATAGGACCTGAGACATGTGTTTCTTTGTGATTGTGAAGAGTGGTAGCTTCACATCAATCATGTCTCTCTGCAGCTGATGATAAAGTCAAGAGCGTTAAACTCACTACAATTGAGTCTGGTTGTCACAAGAGGAGTGGCTACCTGGTTTCAATCCCATCATCGCAGCAGTGGCAGCTCAAGGCTCTGACACGAATTTATTAGCCTTATGAAGCAAGAAGCACCTACCAATGTCGGTTGCCATGTGTCATATGCAACAATGTTAAGTGTGCGTGTGCGTGCAAGGCTTTAAATTGCCGCTGCACGCACGTCGATCGCGATGAGGCAGCGTGTGGTCGGTCGCGAGTCGGCGGGGAGTTAATGGCGGAGGAGGTGGAGAGGAGGCGAGGAGACTCTGCCCTCACAGAGCCATCTGTAGAAATGCACGGATTAAGACGTAAAGCCCAGAACACACGTGGTGATTTTAACAACACAGCACAACAGGAAAACCTTCGCTCTGCATCATCATTCCCCACTGGCAACTCGCATCCATCATCCATATCTTCAGTTTCTTGCAAATCATTGGATAAGGAGACATTAATGTGCTAGACTTCCGGCATTACATGTGTGGCAGCACATGCATGTTATCAATTCAAGTTCCACTGCATCTGCTGGGTTGACGTCCTGGGCTCCTGAACCGTATGTGAGGTTGTTGACTGTTATCTCCTGATATGTATATATTTTCTCTATAATGGTTTCATTCCACACATAAATAAATAGTTGCTCAAACAACCAATAGCAGAAACATCACGTAAAATAAGTCCTGCGTAAAAAAACAGATGTATTATTATAATCTAGACAACCGAGTGTCACTCTACTCACACTCAGGTTCAGGGGTGAAATCCCAGTCAGAGGTTGCCTCAGATCAACATCCCTTTTGGATGATAAAAGTTGTCTCAGAAGGAATCGCTTTTGCCATAGGAATGTGGACTTTTCACTGGTGGCTCAGGAGCACTAAAGGGGAGGAGTTTGTTTGAGAAAGGAGGGACTTTGACTGAATTATTGTGATATGAATGAGTGCTTGACAAGCCATATGATTGAAGTAATGATACAACCACACGCACAACCATTCCATTACCACCGATGCTTCACAGAACAGGGTAATACTGTTAACAAAAAAACTGCTTTGTATCACTCACCACGTGTGAACAGTTTACATTCCATAAAATATCAACACAATGCGGCAATTGCAGCCTTACTACATTGTGACATACAGCATTTCAAAAGAGTAAAAACAAATCTCATGAAAACCTTTCCAGTGTTTTAAAAAGCCACATAAATACATTCCATATATCAGTGCATAAATTGACAACTATGAATAACCTTACTGAAAATAGTGTTAACAGTTGGACTAAACTAAATGTATAAAATTATGGACACTTTCAGTCGCAGCCAATGACAGTGGCTTTATAATCACTCCTCACTCGAACATGGTTATGCGCTAACTGTGGTGCACAGCAAGGTTGAGGAGACATGGTAAGCGGTGCTGTGGAGGACACTGCTCACCAGAGGCGCTGCCACCGCCTCTATCCATAGGACTGTGGCTCCTCGTCGCTCGCTGCCACTTACGCACCATGAATCGCAGCCTGTTGAACATGACAGCAGCAGCATTAGCAACAACACGCGCTTTCCAGAGCTGCGACACAGTAAGCGTTAATACGCTTGGCCAATCATCGTTTTGGGTGGTGCTGTGGTAGAGTGCATTATTCACAATTGGAGTGCAGTGAGTGCAAATCCCAGTCGGAGCATAGAAGTGCATTACCCCATAAAACAAAACAGCATGCAAATTATTGTTTGATGCAAATTAAAAGCTGACATAACTTCCAGGAAAAAAGACCAAGGAGATGTTTTAAGAACTACTTTTTTATGATTTTAAATAAAAAAAATTGGGCATTTACACGTGAGTGCC